GAGTGTATGAGAAATCGGTTCTCTTTTCTTGATACCGCATGAAAATCTCAAACAAGAGTTTTGAACGCTTTGATTTCGTTGTCGTTCATTTTTATTCAAAAAATAATGACACACTACATCACAGTGGTTGAAAAGAGATAATATCAACGAATCACAAATGAGTAATTTGGTTTTTAGGCTCAAAATATGCCTATGAGGGTATACTACTTTCATTTTCACAAATGCTCTTTGAATCAATGTTGAAGTATGTTTTTGAATTTGAGTTCATCATCGATAAAAACTCCTAGAGTTTTAACCTGATTCACAACTGGTAAAACAGTGTCATCAATTTTTATGATCAGATCGACAAGTTTCGACCTCGTGACTTTCCTTCCAAATACAATCAGAGAGCATTTGGAATTAATAACTTCCAGGGCATGTTTCTACGATATATTAACGAATTGATTCAAATCCACATTAATGATATTTTCGCTTTGCTGTACAGAGTCAGGAGTAAAAGAATAATACAACTGTGTATCATCGGCATACATATGATATTTGAGTTTTTTCAAACAGGCTGTCAAATGAGAGGTGTAAATTATGTAGAGGATAGGTCCAAGGATTGAACCCTGTGGGACACCTGAAGAAGTATTTTTGAAATCTGACATGTGGTTCTCCACTCTAACGATTTGTTGTCTATGTGAAAGATATGAATCAAAAAATTTAAAAGTGCGTTGAGAAAGTCCATTACATATGACGTCATATATTTCTATTTATTAACGGTACAGTAACTAGTTTTGTAAATATGAGATTTTCTTTTGTCATTCAAGGAGATTATGGTGATTCAGAGTTAAATATTCAGATTCATGTTGATGATTGATTTCTCCGACGTAATTGAACCTATTTTACGATTTTTTTTCTCTGCTTTTCACTTCCAGGTGTGGTTTATATGGATATAAAGGTTCAGGGTGAATGAAGCCCATCTGTTTTAATATCACTGAAACATAAAATACTGTTAATTATGAACAAGAACACGAAACGAGCAAATAACGATTATATTGTCCATTCACTTGCTCTCATGCACCTCTATAGCGATTAACATTCATTTCAAGTTGTTAACACTGACCTTCCTCGCTACCAATTTTTGTGTTGAAACGATATGTAATGCTACCTAACCGTGAGGCGAACATTTTCAGCCAATAGAAAGGCTTCTTTGACTGCCACGCCGATAAACTGGGGCCGGTGTAATCCGCCGGCGATATCAAGGTAATTGTAGATAAAAATCATTGGAGTTCTGACGCCGATATCGGCGATATTTCGCTATCATAGTTTGTCTGTGTCTACGAAGGTTACTATTCAATGGGTCAGAGATAACTGGTTTTGGAATGAATGAAGTGGACCTACCCGGACAACGAAAACATTAGGCTCTTCAATAATTTTTTCTACAGTACTTTGGTTGAACTACACTGAAACTTTGAGTACTTTTTAATATCGGTGAACAGGAACTACATCACTGGACAACGGTATCTTGTTGAACAGACATTGGCAATCCACCAAAAACTTTCGAAATCAGACATTTTACGAACTCCTTTTTTTCATTTTATCAACAAAAAGGATACCCGTTGTCTCTAATAACATCATTATCGATAGTAATAGCACAAAACCTCAAACCTTCGGCAATACTGTAATGGTGTTTCACAAGGAAAGGTACTAGGGCCTTTGTTGTTTATTATTTATATAAACGAATTTTCTGGAATTTTTGAAAACAACAGCACCAAATTTGTCAGTTATGCCGATTCCAACGAGAGGTTTTTCATCTTCAATATAATATTCAACCAACTCCTTCGGCTCGAACATTTCATCGTTAAGTTGTCTATCCCCACCTTTTTTTTTAACAGATTTCCTAAATACCGATTTTCGTCTGTTATTACAACCATCTTATGACTATCGAAAGCAAAACTTATTTCTGAACGCTTCGCAACTAATAATGAATGTTCGTTTCTTTCCCCCTTCGATAGGTACCTATATTTGCGGTCATGTGTAGACTCCTGTACGATTTCTACAGTTTATCGATCCGGATTAAAGCGGAGGCTCGCCCTAAACGTGAGCGTGGTTGGCGGCGACATACTTCCTATTCTGTCTGTTCTGTTGCCATGACCTGCTCGCTGTCCAGAAATCGATGGCAACAGCGTTAGTGTCGATGCTCTCGATACGATCTAGTACTCCGTTGAAATCTTCATTCTCCATCATCAGGCTGATACGGGCGTTATACATACAGAACTTACTCGTAGGTAATATAACCTGGGTGTTATCTTTGACAAATTTCTAACCTTTATTCCACATATGAATTCTATAATTAGTGAGACTCTACAATTACTGGGTTTTATTGGTATTGATCTGAATATTATATCGTTGAAAACGGTTTATCTTACCTATGTTAGATCGATTCTAGAATAGACATCAACTGTATGGTCTCCTTGTTATTCTGTACATGTAAGTGAAATAGAATCAGTCCAGAATCGATTTCTACGTATCTTTACATACAAATTGGGATTTGTTGTGGTATAGTCGAAGTAACCGATATAGTAATCTTAAAGGTGTCGGCGGAGGCCAAAAAAAACTTTCTTGGATTTTACTCATTTTGTCTTCAATCGAGGACCACCTGTCTGGTACTGACGATGCCCAATAAAATTGCTGAGCAAGAATTGCATAGAATGTACAAACTCGACACTTTCAGATTATTCATTTTAGCCGAAAACCTACAGTTTGTAAAAAACTTGATAAAAGATTAGTTACCGTTTTTGCAGACTTTGTTCAACCTATAGAAATCTACAGGGTGGTCGAGTGTACCAATTTAATCGAAATTAAACGACCCCATGCATATAATCAGAAATGATTATTATTGAATACCAAAATTAGTTAGCTCCCTAACTATTTTATTAAAGGGAACTGCTGGAAGGTAGGGAGCACTTTACTTGAACTATACCTACGAATGTAATAAAATCTTGACTATTTTGAATCTAGGCACTAGACGAACGTAAAATTTTAGAAGATCTATTATTTCTACAAAAAATCTCAGCGGGTGATCTAAACTGTTTGGATCTGTTATTTACTTTGTTATTCAGAATTCTGGTCAAAGCAACTCGGAACATTATTTTTTTTGAATTACCAAACCATACCACTAGTTATGGATAATTCAAACCCAATATCACTAATAATGCGGCTCAGGAATTCTTCTGAAGATAAACTCATAAAGGGTTAAGAAAGCAGTAGCAGTGATGGTAAACAAGTGAAAGAATATAAAAACCTACAGAATCATAACAGTATTATTTTGCTACGTATAATATATTATAGATATTTGACAGTTTCATTTTTATTCATTTCACGTTCAGCTGAAGCCGCGGACAGTATCTTGCCATCGCGATCTATTTTTTTAATTTTATATTTGAATAATGCAAGGAACTTTATTATGCGAATGTTATTGTTTTTTCAATCACTAACACTAACAACTGTAATCAATATATGGTTAAAATCATCAACTGTACCATCGATATGGAAAAAGTCGAAAGTCTGCCCAATTTTCAAAAAAGGAGGTAAAAGTGAGATGAAAAATTACAGACCAATTTCTATCATATGCAACTTTTGTAAAGTGTTTGAGATGTTTCTTGAGAAGACAATCTATTGTCATGTCACCTACATTATTAGCCCCAATCAACACAGTTCCATGAAAGGACGTTCAACCACCACCAATCTTGTAACGATCACTCAATGTATTACAGAGGGTATTGATTGTCAGTCTGACTGATGTCATCTACACTGATTTTTCTAAAGCGTTCGACAGACTTGACCATAGTATCCTGCTCAACAAGCTTTCAACTTTTGGGTTGTCCAATGGCCTCAAGTCTATCGAATATATAGCCACATCTGGTATACCACAAAGATCAAATCTAGGACCCCTACTTTTCAATATGTTCATTAATGATATCGGAGCTGAGATTGATGTCAATTTCCTTTTATACGCAGATGACTTGAAACTCTATCACAATATAGCATGTTCTGATGATTGCTAACGTGTCGCCCTGAATTTAAATCGCATTGCTACAGGGTGTCGGAAGAATAATCTATCTCTCAACATATCCAAATGTAATGTAATGTCTTACTCACTGAAAACGAACTTGAATTTAGACAACTACGTCATAAACAATCAAGTTCTGGAGCGTCCTGACACACTCACTGATCTAGGTGTTACTTTTGAATCATCCCTCTCTTTCGATAAACATATCGACACTACTCTAACAGCAGCTTATCGCATGTATGGATTCTTAATTAGAAATACAGAAGACTTCGAAAAAGCTTCAACATTGAAATTACTTTATTTCACTTTTGTTCGATCTAGAATGGAATATGCATCTGTCGTGTGGAGTCCCTACTATCAGGTTCATATAAATCAACTAGAAGCCCTACAGAGGCGCTTTCTAAAATATATGTCCTTTAAAATTGAAGGCACGTGCCTTCCTGTAGGAATACCATATTATGAATTGCTTGTAACTCACAATTTTTGTAGTCTCGAGGTAAGGCATTCCTTTTATTATTCAAGGTCATAAACAATATCATCACCTGCTCTCAACTGTTACATATGTTGAATTTTTGGGTTCCTAGACGGTCATCTAGGAATAGTGTCATCTAGGAATAGTACATATTTGTAAATGCCACTGTTACTCCTTATTCTGTGATTGGGTTCGTCCCGTAGAATAGTGTATGAAATAAATAAATAAATAAACTCCTATTGTACGGTAATAGAAATGAAAAATAAATGAATAATATAAAAGATTTGAAACAAATAATAATTAATAATCTCAGGCCATTTCATTTTAGCAAATCTATCCAGATCAATTGATCATTACTGATTATTGATTGACTACTTTTAAAGTCATTTGATGAAAATTAGGAATTGAATTGAAAATTGTTTGATGCCTATGTTGACAGACGAAAAATTCAATATTATTTTCATTTCGTTACAGCTGATGAAACTAGCCAAAGACGTTTTGGGAGAAAAATTGTTCATTTTGTTGATGAAGGCCACATTCTACGGTCATTTTGTGGCAGGCGAAGATCAAGTGAAAATTAGGCCGACACTTGAGAGGCTGAGATCGTTCGGAGTCAAACCTATCCTTGATTATTCCGTCGAAGAGGATTTGTCGCAAGAAGAAGCAGAAAAGTTAGAAGTCGAGTAAGTTGATAGAAAACAATATGTTAAAACAACGATCAAAATAAAATAAATACAACAATAAAAATTAATTGGCGCTCCGGGGCGACTTCATTGATTCCAGTGGCGCATTTGCTTTTTCAGCTGCAGGAAAACCCGGAAAAACCTGCAGCACCACATCATCGGAAGATCTTGATCTAACAATGTCCTCTCTCTCATAAAACAAAATGTAGGGTGTCTCCAGAGGCTCCAATAAATTCAATGCATCGCCAGAACACTTCGTGACACGACTATCGTCAAACTTAAACCAGTCCGTTTCTTCGTTGACCAAGGCGTAATAATGACCACATTCAACGCCAGAATCACAGTGAACAATGACTGCATGAATATTATAACAGTGGTCTGCTAAGTTGAAATGTTCATCTATTTCGAACCTTCCAAAGAGTTTCTTGCTTCCGTTAGAGGTTGAGTCTTGTTTGAAAATCATCAGTGTTATTATTAGATTGACTGGTGCCTCAGCTATACTTGTTTCCTTATAACAGTCAGTTAGTTTGAAGGAAGTAAGGAAGAAATCGGTTGGAGAGAAAGATGTTCCTTCTTACGAAACTGCAGCTGCATGAACAGTTGTTTGAGTTTGATGAATAAGCAGGAAACATTCCCGTTCTCGTTCATTATTAAAACTTCGTTCTTGAAATTCTTCGTCATGAACAACACTTGTAAAATGCTATTCATGTAACAAGTGTTTCCTAAATTATCCAATCCAATTTTCTTCTCTAGATTTTTAGGACAACTCTCTACTGATTCGTAAGGAAGAACACGTTTCACAGAATCTCCATAAGAACCATTTCTCAAGCTGCGATCGATCCTTCCAAGTGAAGAAGGGTTTCGTAGAGGGATCGATTCGACTCTTGCTTCAAGAAAACATAAAATAATGTAGATAGTAAATAGGTTAGGTTAGGTCATAGATGTGTGGGTCTAATTAACCCTCTACTACAGACGACGAGAAGGCCTGTTAGACATCGTAGTTCATCCCTACTGTAGTCCAACAACTGTTTGGTTTCAAGCTTCAAAGGGTGAATGAAGGCTTTGGAGTGAGCCAATCCTGGAAAATTTTGCCAGAAGTTCATAAATCTTCTTGCCATCCAGGTGTTTCTGGTCCGATAAAGTTTCTTGCAGCACCTTCCTTTGCATTGCCTTCCAGTCCAGTATGGCCAAGAATCCAGACCAGAGACACATTTGTTTAGTATTCCTATTGAGAAGGGTCGTTTTTGGCAATTCTCTTTCAATTTAGATATTGCTCGGTAGGAGCCAAAAGCTTGCAACGTCGCTTGACTATGTATGAGGTTGAAATCTAACAATCTCTCCGCACACAGTTCAATAGCATAGATTTCCGCTTGAAATACAGTCGCATAGATCCCTAGGCAGGTTGATACATCTGTCCTGAAGACACCTGCACCAGAACCTAAAGGTGTTTTTGATCCATCTGTGAACCAACAACTATTTGCTCTTGATATTTCCTTCTCTCGGAGAATCCAGTCCTCTCTACTCGGGAACGGTACTGTATCTTGTCTAGTCTCTCCAGAAAAAAATTTGAGAGGAGGTAGATCTAGAAGGATCTCAATGGCCATGGTACTGATGGCCAGACAAGTCTGTCTCTGTAAGCCAGAGATCTTCGCCTGAGCCATTGTCTGTAAAGCCTTCGGCCACCAGGCAATGGCTCCATAACTGATCATTGGTCAAACAATCATCACATACATCCAATGGATGGACCTAAACCCGAAGTTTTACCACAAGTCATTCGACATGTCCATAGGGACCGTCTGGCTTTGTGTAAAACTTTTTTCAAGTGAGCGTTCCAGGTGAGTTTTTTATCAAGGACAATGCCAAGATATTTCACCTCCGTTTCAAATGGAATGACCTTCCTGGCCAAATGGATGATCTTTCTCTTGGAGATGATCACTTGGTGATCGAAACACGTGTCGGTTTAGTGTTGGGAAAAAACTCCAGTAATATTAATTACTACACTAAAAGTACCAAACAGTACCTCACAAGTACAATTTGCAGAATGTTTTCTGGTGGAAAAAGTAACTTTCACTTCGAAAACAATTAGTGTTTTTCACTTTTTCTTCGTGTGATGCTATTGCAGACTGCTCAAGTGATATTCAAATATTGATATTATCATTTAGTCTACTCTTCTCGCGTGTTTGGTTATTAATAAAACATTTTCCTTATCTGTCGGTAATCAATCATCAACAAAAGATTATGCACGTTTCAGATAAAGTACTCTAGTGCGTATTTAATGGCAAACGCTTTTGTGGATTAATAGGATGTAGTACAACCATCGAAATTTTTAAATAGAGATCAATAATCCAACCTAATGGCGTCACCAGAAGAGAGAGGGGAAATCTCGTTATCACTATTGTAGCCCTAATCTACTCAAGGCCGTAGCCGTAGTCCATTTTTGTCAGACAGTTGATATGATATATTTTCTGCGATGTCTTGCACCCTCCGAGCCATGGTGTTTGCTGACAAACTGACACTTTTAAATAAATTTACTTTTTCGGTGCTTATTTCTTCGGCTACTGCAATCAAGCATTCTTTTATCATTTCTCCATCGGTGAATGGTTTGCCACGTTTTCCGATTTCAAGAGCCACACGAAAGCTGGCGCGAGTTGCAGACTCTTGTTCAGTATTCGCTTTGGTAAACAAAGATTGCTGCGATTTGAGTCCGCGTTTCAAAGCTTCAAATTTTTCCTTCCG